ACACTTCACAAGTCGGAAGTCGAGAGCTGTTCTCGGCTTGACAAGTAACCTACCGGAGGGGATACCTATGTGGGGAAAACTCCGCAAGCCGAAGTGTAGGTTGGTGACATTCAGTGAGGGAAGAACACCAACTTCCTTGATAAAAACAAGCACTACACTGATGGGACTAATAACCATAGCAGTTAACGCGCCCGGAAACATGAAATAACCAATCTTTATACGAAACTTTATTCCACATCTGAAGTTTGTTGGATAGAGTACAAATGTACTTTGGGAATGAAAAAATAATAGCGCAGATCTGTAGCTTATAACGCACTTTTATTCAAGATGCCCTTCGGTAGATCTGTTTGGGTTGTCAGCGATCGGTGGGTAATGGCCACTAAGTACTGCACAAAAACAATTCACACCAGCAAAATAAATTCAAACCGGCACGCGCTATTGCAGGTGTTCAAGAGTATGTATGATGAAGAAATTTCGTGCGAACACAATCGATAAAGACGCCCTTGAACGCACAATGGGTACGACAACACGCCACCCTCACCACTAGCCAGAACACTCACACAGCAGTCGTTATGTACGAAAATTCAGCACCCCCAAGAGAAAACGCAACTGATTGCTACAACGGGTCTTTCCCAAATCGCTTTCTTTCTTTTGATTTAACTTTATTTATTTTCGTCAAAAAACAGTAAAACCTCTGTGACGCGTGGGGAACGAGTATAATCTGCACAAGTTTTAGTGGATGGTGTTATGGCACCGTCGCCTTGTCAATGAAGTACTCATATATTTCAATGATTATTTTATTAACTGCAGGCCTTAGCTCGTAAAGAGCTATTGTGTTAAAGTATATACATACATATCTATATACATATATACATTTTAATAAAAACATTATTTTACATTAGGAGTCTTCAACAGGAGGAGATGAGAGTTCGTCCTTCCTATTTCATCTCCCAGCTTCCCTCGTTTTCGACCCTCCTCTCACTTCCCATCTGGTCACTAAAAAAATGGCATTTCCAGCAGCCATCTGGACCGTCCCACCCCCCAGGAATGCAACCGACTTCCGACTGCGGAGAAGCAGTCGTAACATCCATAATCCCTTCCCTACCTTTTCACTATACATAGTTAAACGCATAAAAGTACCAACAAAGTGAGGTTGACAACATTTCAAATCTAGAAATTTTCGCTGAGTAATAGACAACGTATTTGACCACTTGAAGTACATAGATATTTATTTTTAATTACTGCTACCAAAATAACGTATATCATAACTCTACTTCTATCACGGCTAGTAAATGGAGAGCTCAACAAAACCTGCGCTTAATAAAGCTGCATCAGAAGCAAATCAAGGGACCCTACCACAATTTGTTCAATGGAATTTCAAAATATTCGTAATTATTTCTATACATCAGATACGATTGAAACAAAATATTATTATTATTATTATTATTATTATTATTATTATTATTATTATTATTATTATTATTAATATTATTACTTGTGCAAGGGCCGCTACAGACCACGCAACACATTTCTCTCTCCGAGGCTCACTTGTATTCTATCCTGGAGAGATCAACGAGTGGAATTATAGAGATCTGCCTTTCGGCTGCATCCCTTGGTTAAGACAAAATTGTTAGCCTTGGGTATCAATTAGGGGGGATAGGATGATATTATTATTATTATTTAGAGCAATTACTGCATACAAATATTTTCTGTTACATGCCATTAAATAAATGATGTAAACAATTTCAACAGCGCCACGTCAATGTACTTCGTTTTCATTCAGTAATTCTAGTACTTACGTAGTAAAGATAAACTATTGTAATAAAGCGGCGAGAAACACATTTTTATCAGAAAATCTAGTTTTCTGGGTCCCTGACATCTACTAAGTGGATCATTCTTGTTCTTGCACGTAGTAAATAACTTCTAATATTGTGTGCACTCAGAATACACGTTTTGTGGATCCTTGATTATCGATTGTTCTTTGTGCAGAACACCCGTCAACAATAGCGCCTAAACCATTCTGACAATTTAAAATTATGACCGGAACGGTCGCACGAGATCTATTAAACAAATGTGTTGGAATAAAATAATAATAATAATAACAATAATAAGAATAAGAATAATAACAATAATAAGAATAAGAATAATAACAATAATAATAATAACAACAATAATAACAACGTCGGCCCCATGGCGCAGACGGTTGGGGCAACCGTGGTCTGCGCCGAAGAGGCTTGCAGGATCGAGTATTACGTTGACATGGTCGTATTTGTGTTCATCCCTTCAACCTTCATCATCATCCTATCATCTCATAATTCATATTTCAAATCGCAACAACTTTGTCGTAATGAGGGATACAGCTTAAAAATTACACCCGTTAATCTTGTAGTGTCATCAATAATGACTTATACGTCAATAATAATAATAATAATAATAATAATAATAATAATAACAATAATAACAGTAACAATAATACAAGACTTAAAACCTGACTAAATAGAGCCCATGTAACATTCGGAAAAACAATATCCTCCTTATCCAACAAAACAACTGATGAAGATCACTTTCCCGCACCAAGGAAGAGGTTTGAGAGCGCGTCCTCGTTGCCCAGCATCGAGCTGTACATCCTGTGTGTGTGTGTGTGTGTGTGTGTGTGTGTGTGTGTGTGTGTGTGTGTGTGTGTGCGCGCGCGTGCGCGCGCGCGCGCGCGCTATTAAACTTCACACAATGTAGAAGGATATGTTCCACAGAGAAGTCCGTCTTCCATGTGTCGCAAATGGCCTCGTATGAGGAAACCATGCGAAGTGGCAATGGGCGATCCGAAGTCGCGTTAACATTACGTCACCCCTAATACCACTAGACGAGGTAGGCCAGGGCTTTACATAATCCTTAATCGCCCTTAAATTAAAAGAATCCGTCTGCCGATTCTCAGTAAATCTGCTACTTCGATATGCACCTGCAGTAGCGCTACCAGATACATGGGGAGAAAATACGGAAAAACTCTATAACAAAGAATATTCACCCTCCTAGCGAAAAATGGAGACTAAAAATGAAGTCAAATGGGAGTGTAATGAGAATAATATCCAAGTAGTACGCAATTACATACTATTCCCTAAAAATGCTCAAACGACTTATTATTAGGGTCGGGAATTAATTGAGCTTAATACCAGAGAAATATGAAACTGTGTATGATCTAAAATATAAATACGTTAAAAATAAACATGAATTTCATATTTATTTCAATAAGTAGTACTAAGTACAACTTTTTGTTGATATTTTTATATAAAATAATTACAAAATGCACCTCAGAAACCCCTCAACAGCAGACATTTTTAAAATCTGTGCACATATCTAAAATAATGTCGAAGAATATTATAACACTACCTTCATTTCCCCGTCTCTAAAATTACGATCAAACCTCGGGGGTTCGTGCTGTTGGAGCATTTTATTTTCGACAGGTCGAACTACAAAGAGTTAGTGCTCAAACTGGACAGCGCAACCGCTTCATTGATTTATTGCGATTTCGGGCACGTCAACTATTATGGTTCTTAGTGCTTGTTTTTATGGCGAGAGATGGGGGTTGATCTTCCCCATTGGGTGGCGAGAACCGGCGCCGACCCACACGTCGACTCGCGGGACTTTCCCCAACCAGGGATCTCCCACCAGCAGGGCACCGCCCCAGCCGGGACAGGCTCTCTGCTCCCGACTGGTTTCTCGGCATGTGTAGTGTAGTGTAGTGTAGTGCAGGTGAATGTGTGTGTGAAGTAAGGAGGTGTAGTAAAGGTGTGTGAATAGAAAGGGGTAAGAATAGGACAAGGAAGAGGGAAGAAAGATGGCGTGCCGTCCGTGGACCGTTTGTTAGGGTACAGCTCAAGAATTCGCCTAGTGTTGATCGAAAAGACAACGGAAAACCACCGATCAGAACCGCTAGAATTCTCCTCCAGACAGCGACTGAAACCAACCTAGCTAACTAGCTAGAGTTGAAAAGCTTGTCACCTTCGGGATTTGAACCCTAGGACATCCCGATAAGAGGCATTGGAGTGACATCACTTGATGCACTGAGCCACCTACGCCAGACACAGCGTGTCCGCGTGGGCGGTGCGCTAAGCCTTCTTTGTCGCTTTCGAGTGTTTTGCCGTCCTCGCGCATTAATGGGTGACGTCAACGAACTGATTAGGGAGCTACGCTCCTTCTGTTTCAAATAAGGCTTTGTAGTGATTTATAGTGTTGTTTGTGTGTATCCCTTTCTCACGTGAGACACATTTCAAACTTTTTATTCTTGTGTTATTACAAATACGACAAATATTTGGGTTCTGGGGAAATTGGCCGAAATATGTCATTTTACCAAAATATATTAAAATGACTCTTTGCACAATAAAAATACATTTTTCTACACCACAATATCCGTATTTGTGATTAAATTGTTGTAAATTAACCCGCGGATCCACAAAAACATATGCCTTCGTAGCTCGTGGCTCAGAGCGGAGTCGCTCGCTTTTCACCAAGGAGGTCCGTCGATTCCGTCGAAGTTCATGTGAAATCTGTTCCCACAAAACGAGTCTCCCTAATCCCCACCCATGTCCTAATTCCTTCCCAATTGTGGCCGCTGGGCAGTGACGCAGGAGCGCATGTGAGAGGCGCGCACGCAGAGATGCTACCTGGCGGTCCTCTTCACGACTCCCGACACGACTTACAGACACACACTAGAATATAAAGTATAGTTCAACGGAGGATTAATCCATAAAAGCGTTGTATGCCAAGTTCTTGGCTTAAAGAACTGTTGTCACAGAAATAAACTGACAATGTTAAAAAAAAGCCTTGTCATTAAAATCCTAGCCATACATATGAAAGTTTACCCATCAAAAAAGTTATTTTACTCAACTATTTTCATTTACTGAGACATCTGCTGTGTAATGATATCACTGCTTTTGCTAGCCTTGACGCCTACCTCGTAAACACTGCACACGCAATTACATTGTTCTAACACTTCGAAGGAAGTTTCATATTATTTCCCATGGAAAACTAAAGACAACACAGAACGTCTGCAATCGTTCACTTTTACAAGCTGAATAAACGCAGTCTTTATTCATTTCCGCAGCATTTGCTCTTCTGCCACATTGTTCCAGAGAAGAAAGTTGAATCTCAACCGGTCGGTCAACGACGTGCATTCATAGCATCTCTGCTGAAGTCGCGAAACGTGGCCTGTTTCTTTCCTTCTTCTATATTACAGCTCTATCTGCAAGACGAAAAGACAATGCTTAGGCGGGGAATCGCACAAGTGGCAAATACGTTTCTATGAAAAATCCTAGCATTCAAATGAGCAGAAGCAGATAGTATAACATTTCGTTCGAAAACCCGTTAGACACTGCATGAAAAAATTGAGTAGAATCTCAAATACAATCTATTAACAAAATAAGAGTGGCTTCAACATTATTTTCTAATTGTTTTGGCTGTTCAACAACAGCCTTGTATTGTTCACTTAAGTTATTTGTTTTATCTTTTATCGTCTTAAGGTCTTTTATTATCACCCTTCCATCTTGATTTTGGCTTTCCCTTTGCCCTAGTTGCTATAGGCTTGTACCCTACGATTTCCTTTACCAACTTATCATTTTATAGATACGCCCGAAACTAATTTTATTACTGAGATGCACGTTTTCGTGAGCTTCCTTGTCTTTGACCAATGATCTTCAGAAGCCGGTGAAATTTGAGAAACTGAGATACAATCACAATATTATCTGCGAATGTTCGCTTACTAGCTTGACTTTACACTGTACCTTTCTCTCCAAAATGGTACTTTTATATTGGCGTTGTAATTTATTAGTATGTTTCTTTCTACTGTACATTCAGGAAGCGTAAATATAACGATTGATACGAATCAGAAGATAAAATCTAGTTGGAAAAGAGTTTATGAATGAGACATCAATCGCATCAGGTATTTTAAATGATTTTTCCGTGTGTAGTCACAGTAGATTCATTCTAAATTCTCAAAATGTGTATTAAAAAAGGCCATATGAATCCATTAAGGACTTTGATCGGCATTTCACTTAAGTAATGACATACCATTCTCGACAAATAACAAAAAAATACTTTGAAACGAAATGAGAAGCAACGAAAATTAATGGACTTTTTATACCATTATTGGATAAAGAACGATTCCCAAATAAATTAAAGACAACGAGAAAAGAAACTGACAGACGCTATCATTGCTTCATTGCGGACAGTTCGCAGCAAATTAAATAGAAGATATTAAACCGAACCATTTGTCAGTAAATGCAGTTTAACTTTAAACTAAATCAAAATTAACTCCGAATTTCCAAAATCTAATCTCACACCCAATTTTTCCTGGCCTATTAACGACGAGAATACGACAAACATTGAAGCAGAGCCGCAAAGCCGGAAGCCGTTGTTAATGGAAGGGAGATGAGTACGAATGTCGCAAACATTTCTTCGTTCATGTAATATAAACATAAAATTTTATGGAAAATAAATGTACTTAATTCACTAAAAAGAATTACCAGGACAGGGATTTAATCTTAAGTAAATATACACTAACAGAAAGGCATAGCAAAAATTCTATAATACAATTCGATGAAATCCATTACTTGTGGTTCGATAATATCGACATATCGTTCGGCAATGTCGAACTCTAATACATTACGAATTGAATGAAGTAACGAACCCTACAGAGGGGAAACTGCCGTCATTCCCCGCTATAATAGACGTACTCGGGTTTACCGCCCCCAACCCCGTTCCAACTACCCCATTCAGGCCCAACCCCAGCCGCGGCTCTGCCCCTCACCTCCCACCATCCACCCACCCACCCCGGCCGCACCGCGCGGGCACCACTGCGGCGGCGGCGGCGGCGGAGGCGGCAACGCATGACGCATGGCGCGTGACGCAGGAGGCGCTCGCTATCTCCTCGCGAAGCGGGGACGCGTTCCCGGGAGCAGCGTTTTGGCGGCGCGCCCAGCTGCGCCCGGCGGCCGTGAGAGCCCCACGCAGCCTTCGCACTCGGGAATTCCCTCCACCGCACGCACCAAAAACATTTTCTGCGCCCGACCGACGAGCGTACGAGCCTTACATAAACGCCCCGGACATGTCCCACCTCGCGCGCTGCGCAGTACAAAAGGTGAAGCGAATTTATAGAAACGTGCACTTTTTGTCTAAGCATCGTGAGTCATGCCGCTGAGACGAAAACGGCTCGTGAGTAAAAGAGCACACAATCCGCGCCTCTGAGCTTTCGTATTCGTGATCCCTACGCCCCTGCCCCTCTGCAAAACACGCTCTCCATTCCCCCCTTCTAATACACAATTCGGTTCTCATGAAGGGTACCGCGGGAAGTTTCCGATCGATATCGGAACTTCGTAAATCCATAGGGAGCTCGTGGTGAGTTCCGCATTACACAAAATATTTGTAAGGCGAATAAAAAATTTGATTTACAACATTCTGTAGGAAATCTGTTGTTATCCTTTCGTATACATGTTTTCGCCCTCAAAATATTCCCCAAATTCACAAAATATTTTCGATTGATGATATATTAGTGATTCGGGGTGTGACAACTGCTGTAAATAGTTCCGTAAGTATAGTAACGCGTGTGTGTATGTAAGGGGAAGATAGAAGGAAAGGGAAGGGAAGATCGCGCGCGGTCCGTGGCCCGTTTGTTAGGGTACTGCTCCGGCATTCACCAAGTATTGATCCGAGAAACCACGGAAAACTACAGATCAGAGCAACCGGCCGCTAGAAGTCTCCTCCATATAGCGAATGAATTCCACCTAGCTCCCTAGCTACTGTCTAATAGTTTCTATTTAACAAAAACGAACATTTCTGGTGAATAGATTTGGTCAACAATGCTCGACGCTAACATTTATTCTTAGTTCCACGAATGTTACTAAAGTGATGGAAGTAGGAAGTCCGGGGCTCAAGAAAACGTGCGAGTATAATCAACACGTCTTTTCTTCGTTTATTATATTCAATACACAGTGACATAGTTACGAACAATATGAAATATTTAATCGCGGACAGCCCTTTCCTTGAAGTCTTGCTATAGTACGAGGTCAATTGTGTCGTAAGTAGTGACGCACTTAGTTTTAGTATTTGGTCAGTATGTTCATTAGCCGAATGGATAATAAAATATTCAACTTTTCAGTCAAGATCGAAACTCATTGCTCTTGGATTTTTTTCGAGTTTCTAGCATCAATCGAAACTATACACACCTCTCACATAGTCGAAGGCTGCATAGTTTTCTTTCTATTTCTGCGTGCATTGGAATTAGCAATATAGACAAGCAGTTCTTGTTACGCTGAACGCACGCTACAAACACGTGCGTGACGGGCGGGCGGGTGCGGTTGTGACGTAGACTGCGCGCAGGAGGTTTCTGCGAAGGCCGTGGCTGCGCCGAGGCGGCGGTGGGGGAAGGAGCCCGGGCTAGACGGCGAGGCATCTTCACAGACTCGTTACGCACTCTACACGCTGAACAGTTGCCTTGTCATTTTCTTTTGTTTGGAATTTAGATTAGAAAATAGTGGATAGCCGCTATCAAACGTCAGAGGTGATACTCGTAGATAATGTTTGTATGCCTTTAGGAAGTACCGACTTGCCTTTTACCTACAAGTTAATACTATGAGCCTACCTTCCTAGCACCCACCGGTCTTAAGAAACATAACAGATTTTCGCTCTAATTACAGCTACTCTTTCTGGCGTTCCAATACTGGCACTGTTCGGCAGTATACTGTATATTGCACCAAGCGATTTTGTGTGAACAGAATTTCACCGGAGACCTTACTTCCCGTACTTCGTCCACTTGGCGTTGCAAATACTGTCTGTTTCAATCTCCCAGTTTTGAAGAGAGAAGTGATAAACCGAAAAAGTGCGAATTTATTAGGGTTTTTGCAATTTTCTCTGTAAAGCTCACCTTGCTCGAGGATGCAAACAAAATTTGAACTCAGCACCCTATAAAAGATATCAAACCGTAAAGAGAAAAACTTTTCAGGACTTTTTTCCTAAATCGGGCACTTTTAAGCATCAGGTGACTGGACTAAGCTGGGTGTAGCACTACATCCAAACAATTCCTTGCGTACTGGCAATTTCTCATAGTTTACCCGTTCTTGAACATGGTCTTTGACACAATGGTTCCGTCAAAGGGTGAAGCCACGCAATGAATGCGATAAGGAGTTGACACCGCACTGAACGTTCTTGTGAATTATCTGTGGGCAGAACATGTAGAAATTCCAAACAGAGAAATTTTACACTTTTCACAAGAAAACTAGTAATAGAGCCCAGCAGCTTTTTCACATATTTCTATCACTAGAGGTGACAAAGAAGGTCTATCAATAGTCAATATAATGTGAACAAATATTTTATTCTATTATTTATTAACTTTGTTTTGTCGTAATATTCAATTTACATGGTTGTGAATAGAAATTGTGAAGAGGGATCAACAGAAGATTATTGATTAAGCTACAAATAAACCCATATTCTAAATGGCGTTTACGTGCGACTGTTTGTTGTAAGTTCCGGTAAGCTCATGTGGATTCCTTTATTAGTTGCACTATAAAATGCATTTCTTGTATAAAACCAATATTTCTACGTTAGATAAAAGAGAAGCAATTTGTGTAAACTGTACAGCATTAGACTTCATATGGATTTTTAATTATCATAAACCAAAATAAATTAACTTGATAATACATAGTAGGGTCGATTCAATAACAAAATCCGTTGATTCAAATGTGATGAGGGCACGTAGAAAGTCCCAAGTCCACGGCGGAAAAAAAAGCCCTTGCTGCCTTCGTGCAATCAGGCCGACGAATTCGAATGATTGGGGGATCCACTGCGCACTGTACAACGCACTCGAAATTCTCCGTAAAACGCCCGTCCGGTTCATGACATCGCGTCTAAAAATTCTTCGCCGCGAAGCTTGCTTCGGTTACGTCTAGCTGGGCGGCGCCGCCGCCGCCGCCGCCGCCGCAGCCTCAGTTGCCTTCCCAGAAGCAGCGCGTAGCGAACTACGCACGCCCCGCCCCCTCCCCCTCGTTCTCAGTCCCATCATGCGCTTGTTCCTACTCGAGCGCGGTGCCGCGCCCCGCCGCCCCGCCCCGCCGCCGCCCCGCCGCTCGCCGCCCGCCTCCCGCTGGCCCCCCCCGCC